CCGCGGGTTTGGCGGAGCCCAACAGACAACGGCAGCAGTGAGATGCAAAAGAGGAGAGGACTCAGGGAGTCACTCTGGAAAATTTCTCTCCTCTCCTAAATGCCACCTGCTCTGTCGTGACCTGATGTTATAGTGAAGCGGGTCTTCCAGAGCGGCAGCAGCTGTTCTATGCATCTCACTAGTGGTGCTAGTACCGCAAGACATTCGAGCAATTACAACAATAGCTCGTGCGATGTTGTATCAAATGCCTTGCGGTAATCAATCCAGGCCATCGATAGATTCCGCTTGTATTGCACAGAATCCTGTGTAATACAGCGATCTATCAGCAGGCTGTCCTTGCAACCTGCCATGCCCTTCTTGGCACCACGCTGTTCGTGTATCTGCTGGAAGACCGGATCAACAGACCTCAGCGTCCTAGCATACAAGATACATGTAAATATCTTGTAGCAGGAGTTAAGGCAACACCATTATTATTCGGATAGAGGTCAAGGACAGATGGGAGGGGCCTTACCGGACGGTCCTAACTATGACGACAATGCTATTGCACATGGACGCTTTAAGTGGACGAGGGAACTTCGGGATGACTTGCTGACCTGCCGCGAGAGTAGCGAACCTGAGCGAAGGGGATACATGGCGCGAATGCATGCATTTTGGTGCGAAATGCATCCCGAGCATCGCGCCTTCTCTCAACAACATCTGAGAGATCAAGTATCCTTTCTGCTCAGGACGGGTTACGTAAGGGCACCCCGCCAGCTGGAAGAACTGCCAGCCGCAATCCCACCGCGGCAATTACCAGCTGATGGGGAACATCCTTTAGAGTTCACCGGTGTAGACTTAAGGACGAGGGTTAGCCTTAACACCAGGGCTAACCTAAAGCCACAAGACCTGGCTAGAATGGACGCGGTCATCGATGAGGAAATTCCGGAAGATGTAGACATCTGGCAAATCAACTGTGCCGTGTACAACGCCGCGAAGCAACTCGTCCCCCGTGAGAGGTCAACCAATCACGGGGTCAAGAAAGCCAAGCGGCGTGTACAAAAAATCGAAGGCAAGATACAGTCGGCCAGACAACACGCTTCTCGGATCCAGAGTGTGGTGGAATATAAGACGACTGGTAGAGTTTTTACTCCCAGGATCCGGCGCATAGCTGCCGGATTAAGACGTCAACACCATACTCTAAATCTGACAGTGATGCTTACCATCAAGCAGCACTGTCTAGATAGGATCCGAGCGCTCATGGCGATAAAGAAAACATTGAAGAGGCGGGTGAGGAGTATGGAACAAAACAATTTGTTCCGTACGAATCCTTCCCGCCTCTTTCAAGAGCCACAGCGTGTTGTCGAGAATCCGCCGACTGTAGAAGATGTCGAAACCTTCTGGAAGGGAATCTACGAAACGCCGCGTCCATTCAATAGCGACACTCCATCAATTGCACACTTCGATGCTCTGTGTCACAGACATCTTAAAGAGCCAGAAGAAGTGTGCCCGGCAATCAGTACGGAGGAAGTCCAACAAGCACTTGTTGGTACCAAGAAGTTCGCTGCCCCGGGCCCAGACGGCATTAACAACTGGTGGTGGAATAAATTTCCTTCCACTCACCGCCGTCTGGCGCGAGTTTTCAACTCATGGTTGAACGAGGGGCAGCAGATTCCGGACTGGTTCGTCGAGGGACGTACTGTGCTTATCCCCAAAAAGGGGGATCTTTCCGACCCGAGGAATTATAGGCCGAGCACCATTTATTCATTATTATTATTAGTTTTATTATTAATTTAAAACAGTAGTATTTATATTTTATTCAAGAATCAAAGACAGTGTGCGAGGTTGCGAAACTTTGCACTTGTTCAGTTTGATTGTTTTTTTAGTAAAACGTAAAAATAAATCATCTAAAATTATAAGGGAAATACACACACCGAACTTTAAATTATATAAGCTGATTACGTTATATCTTGAAATGAAAAATGTAATTTACTATTATAAATCGTTAACTTTAAATTAAAAAAAACATTTCCTATTTAGCTCTATACGCAAATTCATTTAAATTAGCGGACCATAAAAACGACATTTGAACGCTATTTTTAATTCTATAATCATAATAACAGCATTTTTACTGCATTTTGAGTTGTAGCTATAATAATAAAATGTTTTTCCATGGTGAAAGTAAAATAACTGTCGGCCAATTTACAACTAAAATATGACTACAAGTTTGATTTAAATTGTAACAGAAATACTTAGTTTTCATATTGAAATTAAAATTTTTATTGAGAGGTTCTCTTGTAATCCCAACGTATGTCTGTGTATCTATCGTTTATTGTAATTACTTCTAAGTTTTATATTTTTATCTCATAATTCAGATTGTGATACTAACCTGAAATTGGGTAAACCTAGACAGTTTTTTGAGACGAACAAAATAGGAAAAATTAGTTCGGCCGTTATCAGTATCACCTCAAAATTGTCATCAAAATCAGTATTTCGACATTATTTCGAAAACAGCGAATTGTATCAATACATTGTCTATAGTTATTTATTTGTGGCAACCTATAATGTTTTTTCTCACTTTCTTTGGGTATGTCTATAAATTATTTTAAAAAAATTGATAAATAAACCTCAATATGTTTGTAATTATACAAATTAAAGTAAACTAAATTTTATACAAAAAAAAATCTGATGAGATTTCTTGTAATTCTATTGGTTTCCTCGGTGTTACTGAGGAATCAGTCACTGTCTATTTCATAGTACCCTTCATCATATAAACACAGTACTGTACATGAATGTTTCTTATTACATATAACTTGACATTTACAAAAATCAAGCTACTGATATACCGAAATAGCTTTTGCAGATATGGTCCAAACAGTCTGGTAAAATCCGTCTTCCAGTTGCCATCTCCATAACTAAGGGTCTGAAATAATTTGGGTTTGAAATCAAACACTCTCCCCATATAAAAACACCCTGGAAACTACCCGCCGTTAGATGCGGAACAAGAGATTCTTTTGTCGGCAGTGGTGAATGAGGGAGTCGCGTTGCCATTGGTAATTGGTTTTAGTAGAAGCAGCGTTTTATATTGCAAGAGTGACTAATTATTCTCTAGCATGCTCCTTGTTGGATTCCCAGCTTCGGCATATGACAATGTTGAAGAGAATAATTGTGCGGCCACAAGTTTTCAATTCAAAGTGTAACTCCTCATCCACACAGCTTCCACTCTGGATTAGTTATTTTTTATTAAGAACATCTATCTTAATTTCTTGACACAGAAATGTTTTTATTAAGAAAATATCAAAAAGTTTTGTATTTTGCCCCAATCAATTTAATATTTGTGGAACCACAGAAAATACAAACCACATGCATAGATAGATCAGTTCCTGGCCTTAACAAAATTGTTAGTACAGACTCGGAAGTCAAAAACATCGCTAATTATTGCAAAATTTTTTGGCGAAAATTTTTTAAATAGACCATTTGTTCCAGTGCTGTAGTCATTATCATAAGTTATGTTCACACTTCCAAAGACAAATATATAATTTACAAATTTTCAAATGTCAGTGTTTAATTGATGTAAATTTCACAGTTTTCTAGACACCACAGGAAATTTAAAAAACGTTTTAATATTTTAATCATTACATTATTATTACGATTATTAGCGAATACATGTAGAGAACATGTCATGATACTGGCCTGTTGCGACAATGCGATTGGGATCCTAACCATTTTTATTTTAGCTTCTAAGTTAAGGCTCGTATATGATACATCAGGTTGCTCACAAAAGATTTCACGAACCCTATCGCAGTCAAGCCACTATTATACGACCGGCCTGAAAATCATAAAACCATCTATCTAGGTAAGTACAGTCATTCCAGTTCCATAAAACTCCAGCTCATTTCCTGCTATAAAATATTATCCATAATTCTGCGTTTAAAAGGGTACATTTTTCACATCTGCTCTGTCAGTCACCTTCATTAACTTTTCATGAAAATTTTAAGAAATAACATTCCGTTCGAGAGAATATAAACCTAAAAACACCAAGTCAAAATATTTAAAAATATTTAGTTGCTATTTGGAAATACTTGTGTGTAGAATAATCATAAATAAAATCTATTTGCAACACAAGAACTCTGCATAATCTAGACTAAGCTCAACTCTTAGGACTTTAAAACTCACGTTAAATTCAAAATTACTGTATAATCATTGAATATATTATACTTTAAGATCCTTCTGAAAACGCATTTTCCATTGATTGCAATTATATTTAAATACGAAGATACTTGAAAATAATAATAAATAAAGCTGCAAATCGTTTCTGTGTATCATGGTCGTAGAGTACAGCTGTCACCGGCATTCACATTGACCGCGAAACTCTTTCTCCAGTCCAATCTGTTATTAGCTTTCGAGTTGTGTACAAGTTAAGTCACTTGGGCGTATTGCATATTATTTTGTGTTTTTATTTTATTTGTTGTACTGTATTATTGATATTAATTTAATAATAAAGCATGGCAGACGTACGCAGAGGTAGAAAACGGCCATTTGCTGATAAAGTGAATAAATTCATAGGTGAATTCCCCGATTTATTCTATGATGGTGCTAAAATAACTTGTAGAGAAAGATTTGATGTGCTGGGATAAGCGTGATTGTGGACTTCACGTAAATAGTGTACACCATAAAAATAAAAAAATGGCGCGCCCTCGACAACACAGTTTATGTTTGATTTACTGTTAATGCTGATTGCCTGTGATGTTCCGCTGCACATACTCGATAAACAACCATTTCGAGAGTTCTGGAATAAATACAATGCCCAGGTGAAGTTACCAAGTCGCACAACGTTATGTAACTAACTATCTACCAACTATACACGTAGAGATGGTAAATAAGATGAAATGTGAATTAGAAAATACACGGCTGTGGGGGTTACAGATTAGCTAAAAACAAAATAGTTTTCGATAATATATTTATAATAAAGGTCAAACAAATATATATTATTATTTATTATATAGTAACTTAATAACTAAATAGCATGGTAGCCGAGTTGGTAAATCGCTTATCGCTATTTACTCGGTATCGAAAGTCGATGGTTCGATTCCATCCTGAAGCAAGTTGGAAATTTAATTTGTAATTTGTTTCGGACTAAGATGGGAGAGGGAATTGTCGATGCCCTAGATGTGGTTCAGATTCCAAAATAAACTGTAGGGCCTCGTCTCTCTTTACCTAACACAAAATCCTAGGATCTTCCAGGGGTTATTACGGTGACTTGCGAGGCGGGTAAGAAAACATTTTTCATATGCATCAACAGAACCTAAGAATTTTGTTACCAATCTTCTTTAATCTTGTTCCAAAATAGGGTCGGGTAGCTGGCCTTTTATATCTTTCTTACTGATGATCGATACATTGCGTCATTTTCTATTTAATCAAAGCTTGTCTTCTATTTATCCAAACTTTTTAGGCATTTAATCTGGTATTTTTCATTGGATAAAACTTTTAAAACAATTGCCACGTATTTATTAGTATCGTTGTCACTCTTCTTCCGGTTCCCTTGAATATCGCCAAAATAAAATGTCCTCGTTTTAAGTATTCGGCTTTTAAAATTTCAATTTCTAATGTGGTGCCCTGTGTTTTCAACCACAGCCTCAACATTTTATTTTCCAGTTCTTTTATTAGCTTTTCTTCTACTTACTCTCTACAGGAAAACTCATTTTCGCAGTCGAGTATCCAGTCAACCTTTTTTTTTTTCAGTTTCTTCTCTAATTAACGCATTGACTAGTTGAGTTCCTTTGAAATTTTCCACTATCTTTATTCCTCAGATTGTTCATGGCACTAGATCTCGAAATGGTCATTCCTTCTGATATAGCGTTTAATGTTAAATTTGTTTTTGCCGGTATTCTTCCCTTTTAAACAGTTTTTAGCATTTTTGACTGAAATTTAAAAAATATAATTGGGATTAAAAATTTTAAAAAGATCTGGCCAAAAGTGGAGTTCGACTAATGGCCACCCCATATGGCCTTAAATAGAGAAATAATCACTTCCCTTTCCAGTAATGGCCACCCAATATTTTCATAAAATAAATCGTTGATCCTTAGCTTACAAGAAAAATACCAATGCAAATGGAAATTAATTTACTTACCATTTTGTCAACAACCAGCAGGGATTTTAACAAAAAAGTAGTCCAGTCAAATTTCTTATTCATTTTGTGGCCACATTTAAATTTCCACTATTTTAAATCCAGGTCTTAAGATTCATACGTTAGTATTATTTTAATTAATACAAAAAGAAAAGTAATGAATAAAATTACTTAGCGCACCTTTTCTCTAACCGCACTCTTGCTTTAACTTTCTACCGTTTTCTGCTTCCCATACTATTTTGACTCATTAAAACTCCATTTCCATCCATTTGCTCGCTTTAAAATACTGCTTAGAATTAAATAGAATAGAGCTGAAATTCGTTGGCTTTGCTTATATGTATGTGGACATATTACATTTGGAACAAGATTACGAATGGACAAGTTGTACATTAATACAAATTAGGAAATTAGGTATTGAATTATAACGGGACCTATTGCATTTTGAGAGAAAACATTTTGATGTGTAGTACTACACACAAGGTTTTGGTGAATGCAATGCCATCACTATTTCTAAACTGAAATTTTGGATGTGTTGCGCTTTGAAAATAAGCTCCTTATACAGTCGGTGCCTAATCCAAAGTAACATAAGTTGCTAGAAGATAAAAAGAGTGAAATGAAATCCTGATTCTCATATGAATTTATTGATATCTATTCCTTAACATTTTAGTACAAGTTTTTTGTTTTATTTCTCATTTCTGATTTACCAATATAAATTGTAGTCACTGTAATTCATGTAAATATTTTTCTTCCTATATTGTTCCCAGTATAGCTGTTGCTCAGAATATTTATTATATAAAAGATAACAGAATATATTTAAAACCTAATGCAAAAACATGATTAATTTGTTGGTTCAGTAATATTTGACCCACTTGCGGTTTTACTCGTAATATTTAAGTCTTTAATTAACATGAATCATCTAGATATGTTTTTAATTTAATCTGTAGACTGAAGAATGTAAACACACAATTATACAAGAATTAAGAAGATTATAACAAATAAATAAATATTTAATTTGTCTCTATTATTTGCATTAATTTGTTTGAAATAAAATCATATTTGTAATGTAAACATTCTTATTTTGCGAAACAAGTCTTCAGATATATTTATAGAGGACGATACGCCTTTTCATTCTAGTGTATGGGTTTTGTTAACATACTGTATAATGATATTATGTCACCACTTAGGCTACTCTTACAGTGGAAGCGTATACTCCTACTTGCGAACCACAGTTCGCAGGTAAACACTTCTATTGTGAGTCTAGTCTTATACCTACATAACAGTTTTTGAATTTCGGTTTCAGCTATTATAGTTTTCAAAATATAAATTTGTTTAACTATGCCTCGACTAGAAAGTGGTCCGCTGAAATGGTGTTTTAACATGATTGAAGATGGTATTTCCCAAAGAGACATTGCGAGTGAAATGTTAAAAGCTCAATTAAAAATTATATTTTATTGCCCGTTTATAACATCTACAGTAAAACCTCTATATTCGGCCACCGTTTAAAAGCGGCCTCCTCCAAAAACGGCCAGTTCTCAAATTTCCGAAACTAATTATATAAGAATACCCGTATTAATGATCTCCCCTAATAGCGGCACCCCCATGAAAAAAAGGTCACGGCCACTTCAAAGACAATTTTCTTCTTAAAATACCTGCAATTGTACCTCTCATTACTGGTCATAAATTTTATTGGCAAATTTGTACCAACAATTTTTCGACCCTTCGGAGGTAGAATTTTATAAATGCAACAATTACACAGGCCTGCAAAATAAAACTTATGGTGGGGGGTTTCTATATTTTAATGTAATTCTGTATGACTGTTTCATGCCGAATCCAAAAATGACATTTTACTCTATCATGCAAGGTTTTTTTCACAAAGTAAAAATACATCAACGGTTTTCTAATAAAATGTATGAAAATAATGCATTACAGTAAAATACTTCTCATTTTTAATTACAAAATTTAAATCAAAATTTACAAGTACCTACAAGAAAATAATATTACAAAAAAAATTTTTAACATTTTTACATATCTCTTTGCGAATGAAAACGCTTTCTTTTACTTTCAAATGAACACTTAGTTGAAGCCCGTTTATGTGAAGTTTCACCTTCAGAAGATTCTCTCTTTAAACATCAACAATAGTCAGCCATCATGGCGACATTCCATCTTCCTTGATATCTCATCTCCATCTGTTTAATGTCCTGGTGAAACCTTTCACCTTGTTCTTCACTCACCGACCCGAGATTTTCTGGAAAATAGTCAAGATGGGAATGAAGAACATGAAGCTTCAAACACGTATTGCACCCCAATGTTTTATAATTTTCTAACATATCGTTGACTATATTCTTGAAATCAGGATCTCTGTTATTACCTAAGAACTTTTTAACTATATTTTTGAAGCCAACCCATGCAGCCTTTTCTTTATCATTCATTGTTGAGTCAAACACTATGTCTTTCATTAACTCTCTAATTTGTGGCCCAACAAAAATACCTTCCTTAAGCTTGGCTTCTGATGAACTAGGAAACTTTGAACATAAATACTTGAAGCAGCTACAGTTTTTGTCGAGAGCTTTAACAAATTGCTTCATTAGCTCCAACTTAATGTGTAACAGAGGCAGAAGAACTTTTTTTCGGATCGACCAAACTTTCTTGTACAATATTTTTTGAACCAGGTACTAAATTAATTCTACGTGGCCATTCTTTCTTTGCCAATGTTCACATCGTGCTCTACTGTCCCATTCGCATAAGAAACAGGGCATTTTAGTATAGCCAGACTGTTGGCCTAAGAGCATACCTAAGATATTAAAATCTCCACATAACATCCAGTTGCGGTCTGCATATTTCACCTTTTCAAGTAGGAGTTTCAAATATTCATATCTTTCTATTAAATGAACAGAGTGTGTATCCGGGACTGATGCGTATATATTACCATTATGCAACAATACACCCTTTAAACTCCTTTTAGATGAGTCTATGAACAACCTCCAGTCATTTGGTTGATAAATGGATGCTCCTAACTTGTTAACCAATTCTGGAACATCATGTCAGTAAACAAGAGATCCCTCTTAATCAAAGTATTCTAAAAATTCAGTTTCACGTTTTATATACCATGAGAATGTCGTTCCTGGAAGAAGTAAATTCTTTTCACTCAATCTAGATCCCAAAAGTTCAGCGGACTCTTTTGAAAGTCCTAAGTCACGAATTAAATCATTTAGTTCATTCTGAGTACAAAGCTGAGGCTGAGTACTTTGTAATGAAAAGTCTTCATCCGAATCTTCAATTTCTAATTGCGAATCAGAATCGGACGACAAAAGAGTATAATTCTCTGGTACAGCAGGTACAGGTACATCTGGCTCATGCACTACTGGCCATATTGCTGATGGAAGGTTCGGATAAAATATTTTTTTTCTTATTTTTAGTATTAAAGCCACTTACGTCACATAAGCAAAAGTAACAATCTTCTGCATGATTGCTGGGTTCCCGCCACACCATTGGTATGCCGAAAAGTAAGGATTTCTTTTTATTTTGAGTCCACTTCCGTAACGATTCAACACATGTATGACAAGCTCTGTGTGGCGCCCATGATTTGTCTTGGTCTCCAAGCTTTACACCAAAGTATGCATGATAACTTCTTTTCACGAATTCCGTAATAATATCTTTGTCTTTTTTTTAACTGTATATGAACCACAAATATAACAAAACACATCGGCGCTGTTTTTACAATGTCTTGAGGACATGACGAATTTTTAATAACTTTATCACGCTATTATATACTGTAAGCACACGTTCAACCACAGTTAACTTACTACTGACTGCTGTATATGCTTTTCCAATCCTATGTGTATATTATGGTTCTAACTAGAAACGTCTAGATAAAACGCAGCGGTCCTTAACAATTTTATTTTAAAAAGATATGTATTAATTACTAATAATGTCGTTATGTATGTTTAGAGTAAACAGTGCGTGATACACGAAAACTA